GAATGGCGTGAACCCGGGAGGCGGAGCTTGCAGTGAGCTGAGATCCGGCCACTGCACTCCAGCCTGGGGGACAGAGTGAGACTCTGTCTCAAAAAAATAAAAAATAAAAAATAAAATAAAATAAAAATTGTAACAACAAAAGAAAAAAAGATTTTCAAAAATGATACATCACTGTAGGAAAGTCAATAGCTAACAAGAATTTCAGAAAGAGAAAACCAAGGAATCACTGGGGAAAAAGTTGTCAAAGAAATAATACAACAAACTTCCCCAGAATTGAAGGATAAAAATCTTTATAACGAAAAGATCATCATATGCCCAGAACAATGAATGAAAGAAGACCTTCAGGAAGACAAAGTCATCATCTTGAATTTCATTTTTGGTTTTTTTTTTTTTTGAGACAGAGTTTTGCTCTTGTTGCCCAGGCTGGAGTGCAATGGCACAATCTCAGCTCACTGTGACCTCCACCTCCTGGGTTCAAGCAATTCTCCTGCCTCAGCCTCCCAAGTAGCTGGGATTACAGGTATGTGCCACCATACCCGGTTAATTTTGTATTTTTAGTAGAGATGGGGTTTCACCATGTTGGTCAGGCTGGTCTCAAACTCCTGACCTCAGTTGATCCACCCACCTTAGCCTCCCAAAGTGCTGGTATTACAGGCGTGAGTCATCGCGCCAAGCCCTTTTATTTTATTTTTTTTAAGACTAGTCAAGTGCAGTAGTGAGAAAAGGGGAAAGAATAGCATAAGATGTTAGATCCATAACTGATCAACTGAGATAACTCACTACCTTCAAACCAGCCCATCTTGAATTTCAGAAAATGGATGATATGGTAAGATCACAAAAGAGTCCAGAGAGAAAATGCAGATTACACGAATGACCAAGAATGCAATGGACTTCTTAACAGCAATAAGAGAAGCTAGGGGTCAGGAGAAAAATATCTTCTCAGTGTTGAGTATGAATGACTTTCAACCTAAAATTCTATATACAACTGGACTACCAATGACATGCAAATGGAATAAGATCATTTTCAGACATGTAAGGAAGTCCCCAGGATGACAACTGATACAATATCCATCAAGCAATCTGGGAAAGGAGGCATGAAGTCTCCAAGAAATAAAAAAATGAAAATTACAAACTATCTGGCTAGGCACAGTGGCTCTCGCCTGTAATCCCAGCACTTTGGGAGGCCAAGGTGGGCGGATCACTTCAGGTTAGGAGTTCAAGACTAGCCTGATCAACGTGGTGAAACCCCGTCTCTACTAAAAAAGTACAAAATTAGTCAGGTGTGCATTGGGAGGCTGAGGCAGGTGAATCACTTGAACCCGGGAGGCAGAGGTTGCAGTGAGCCAAGATCGCACCACTGCACTTCAGCCTGGGCAACAGAGCAAGACTCCATCTCAAAAAAAAAAAAATTACAAACTATCCGACAGATTTGACTATGAAAAAAACCTTATTGAAGACATTTAAACAGATTTTGGAGGGCATAAAATGATTATTTAGATGTTCAAAGAGAACAAAGCAAATGAACAAGCAAGGCGCTGGGCACAGTGGCTCACACCTGTAATCCCAGCACTTTGGGAGGCCGAGGCAGGTGGATCACCTGAGGTTGGGAGTTCGAGATCACCCTGACCAACATGGAGAAACCCCGTCCCTACTAAAAATACAAAATTAGCCAGGTGTGGTGGCACATGCCTGTAATTCCAGCAGCTCAGAAGGCTGAGGCAGAATTGCTTGAACCTAGGAGGCGGAGGCTGCAGTGTGCCAGAGATCGCGCCATTGCACTCCAGCCTGGGCAACAAGAGCAAAACTCCGTCTCAAAAAAAAAAAAAAAGGAAAGGAAAGAAAAAGCAAGGCAATTATTAACTCCAGGAAAAAGTAAAGTTGCACAAGAAAAGATAAAACTTGTCTTGGTCATGAACACAATTTATGTAGTCATAATAATGAAAGCATTAAATATGTATTTAACCAAAAATGATGATATTAGGTATCAGTATATTAAGAGGATGGAGGAAATGATAATGAAGTGCGAGCTAAAAAACCCTCATTAGACATAATAGGAAAGCAATAGATACTTTCAAAATTGAATAAACCAAAATATTGCAGGATAAGGCCAGGCACAGTGGCTCATACCTGTAACCCCAACACTTTGGGAGGCCAAGGCTGAGCCCAGGAGTTTGAGACCAGCCTGGGAAACATGGCAAAACCCCATCTCTAGCAAAAACACAAAAATTAGCCAGGCATAGTGGCGCACGTCTGTATTCCCAGCTACTGGGGAGGCTGAGGTGGGAGGATGGCTTGAGCCCGGGAGGCAGAGGTTGCAGGGAACTGAGATCGAGACACTGCACTCTAGCCTGGGTGACAGAGCAAGACCCTGTCTCAAAAAAAAAATTTTAATTGCAGGATAAATTTATTATTTTGAAAGATGTAGGTATACCCATAAGAAACAACTAAAAGAATGGTTACTTCTGATAAGAGATATGGAAGGGGCTGGGAAAACAAGAGACTGCAGTTTTTTTGTTATTTGTGTTTTTGTACTAACTGGTTTTTTACAAAAATGATTTTAAAAACCCAAGATCTAGAACAAATAAAGGAGGCATAACTTAATTTTGGCAGCTAAGACGCTTAAATTAAAAGGAATGTAAATCATGATAAAATAAAAAATCTAACCTTAGTATCATATTAGTTTATATTAGTTTACCTTTCAAAAGTGCTTGTGGGCCGGGTGCTGTGGCTCATGCTTGTAATTCCAGCACTTTGGGAGGTTGAGGAGGACAGATCATGAGTTCTGGATCAGGCTGGGAAACATGGCGAAACTCCATCTCTACCAGAAATACAAAAAAAAAAAAAAAACAGCTGGGTGTGGTAGTGTGTGCCTGTAGTTCCAGCTACTAGGGAGGCTGAAGTAAGAGGATGGCTTGAGCCCATGAGGTGGAGGTGGTGGTGAGCCAAGATTGCGCCACTGCACTGCAGCCTGACCAATAGAGCCAGACCTTGTCTCAAAAAACGAGGCCGGTGCAGTGGCTCATGCCTGTAATCCCAGCACTTTGGGAGGCTGAGGCGGGTAGATCACCTGAGGTCAGGAGTTTGAAACCAGCCTGACCAACATGGTGAAACCCCATCTCTACTAAAAATACAAAAAGTTAGCTGGGTGTGGTGGCGCATGCCTGTAATCCCAGCTACTTGGGAAGCTGAGGCAGGATAATTGCTTGAACCTGGGAGGCCGAGATTGCAGTGAGCTGAGATCGCACCATTGCACTTCAGCTTAGGTGACAAGAGTGAAACTCCATCTCAAAAAAATAAACAAACAAAAAAATGCTTCTGACAACAACCTAATGCCCAGTTTCTGATTTCTAAATCGTTTTTCCCACTATAAGAAACCAGAGATTGGCAGGGCACAATGGCTCACACCTGTAATCCCAGAACCTTGGGAGGCCAAGGTGGGCAGATCATGAGATCAGGAATTCGAGACCAGCCTGGCCAACATGGTGAAACCCTATCTCTATTAAAAATACAAAAATTAGCCAGGTGTGGTGTCATGCACCTGTAATTCCAGCTATTCAGGAGGCTGAGGCAGGAGAATTACTTGAACCTGGGAGGCAGAGGTTGCAGTGAGGTGAGATCGAGCCATTGTACTCCGGCCTGGGTGACAGAGAAAGACTTCATTAAAAAAACAACAACAACAAAAAACATAGATCCTTTGAGGAATGGCTGATTCCAGGGATACAGCAGGGAAAACATAAGACAAGCCTGGTACATTTTGTTGGGCCAGAAGGCAAGAACATGCTCAAAGGCTAATAGAGACACATCCAGTGGACTTAGAGTAAGTTTAAAAGGTTTCCACAAAGCCTGAGTAAAATAATTTGATCATTAGAAACATTAATGACTATAACCTATTTTGAAACACTAAATAAATAAAAATGCAAGAGTTCACAGTGACTATTTTATTATCGTTATTATTATTATTATTATTATTTTTTTTTTTTTTTTTGAGACAGGGTCTCACTCTGCCTCCTAGGCAGGAGTGCAGTTGCACAATCTCGGCTCACTGACTGCAACCTTCCCCTCCTGGCTCAACTGATTATCCCACCTCGGCCTCCCAAGTAGCTGGGACCACAGGTGTGTACCACCACATCAGGCTAATTTTTAAATTTTTTGTAAAGATGGGGTCTCCCTATGTTGTGCAGGCTGGTGTTGAACTCCTGGGCTCTAGCAATCCACCTGCCTCAGCTTCCAAAGTGCTAGGATTATAGGCATAAGCCACTGCACCCAGCCATGACTATTTTTAAACAAGAAAAAAATACGATTTATTTGTCACTGTTGGAGGTGATTATTGTGGTCAATCTATCCTGAACATTAATTAAGCAGTTAGAAGGTACTGTGGTTCATTTCCAGCTGATGAAGGAAAATTCTTTACAAAAGAATGTAGAAGTACCGGAGAGGAGTTGACTCATGCCAGTAATCCCAGCACTTTGGGAGGCCGAGGCAGGAGGATCGCTTAGAGTCAAGAACGTGAAACCAGCCTCGGCAACATAGGAAGACCCCGTCTATACAAAAAAATTTAAAAATAAAAAAAATGAGCCAGATATGGTGGTGCACTTGTAGCCCCAACTACTCTGGAGGATGAGGCAGGAGGATCGCTTGAGCCCAGGAGGCCAAGGCTGTGGTAAGCCATGATCACACCACTGCACTCCAGGGCAACAGAGTTAGACCCTATCCCTAAAAAAATAAAAATAAAAACAGATCGGGTGTGGTGGCTCACCCCTGTAATCCCAACACTTTGGGAGGCCAAGGCAGGTGGATCACAAGGTCAGGAGTTTGAGACCAGCCTGGCCAAGATGGTGCAACCCTGTCTCTACTAAAAATACAAAAATTAGCCGGGTGCAGTGGCAGGCACCTGTAGTCCCAGCTACTCAGGAGGCTGAGGCAGGAGAATCACTTGAACCCAGGAGGCGGAGGTTTCCGTGAGCCGAGATCGTGCCACTGCACTCTAGCCTGGGCAACAGAGCAAGACTCCATCTCAAAAATAAATAAATAAATAAATAAATAAATAAATAAATAAATAAATAAATAAAAAATAAAAGCAAATAAAACTTGCCATTTTGTAACCCCCAAGGAAATAACAGAATCAGGCAAGGATCATCAGTGGATGCTAAACCATTAGGTGAAAGGTTGTAGGGAAATGGGATGTTTGCCCTGTGCCAATGTATCATCTAGAGATACCTTGAATTTTGCAAAGGGGGGAATACATCTTCTCCGTGGAGAGATCTGGTGGTCACAGTCTTAATTGAGAGATCAAATTTAGCATCACTAAAAGTGAGACGACCAGACATTATGTGGCCCTTGATGAGGAGCACTGGGATATTCAAAGTTTTGCCCACGAAGTGTTGTGGCCATTGTGTTTAACCTGGGTGTGATCGTGTCTTTAGATCTAACTTCCAACATGCAGGAAAAATAGGGAATAGAGGACTGTGTTGAGTAATACCACAAGGAAGCAACCAGATGAATTCAGAAGGTGCGACATTCTACAAACTACCTGACCAGAGTTCTTCCAAAAGTCAGTATCTTGTATGGGGAGATTATTCTAGATTTTAAAAAGATTAATGAGGCCAGGTGCGGTGGCTCACGCCTGTAATCTCAGCACTTTGGGAGGCCAAGGCGGGTGGATCACCTGAGGTCAGGAGTTCGAGATCAGCCTCAACTCCATCTCTACTAAAAATACAAAATTAGCAGGGCGTGGTGGTGCATGCCTGTGAATCCAGCTCAGCTCGCGAGGAGGCTGAGGCGAGGAGAATTTGCGTTAAACCTGGAGCGCGGGGAGGTTGCAAGTGAGCCTCCGACGATCATGCGCATTGCACTCCAGCCTGGGGCCAACAAGAGGCGAAACTCCCATCTCAAAAAAAAAAAAAAAAAAAAAAAATTTAATTCAGACATATAAGCAATAGGTAATCATGAACTTAATTGCCGATCCATATTTTAAGAAAATTATGAGGCTGAAGGCTGGCGCGCTGTGGCTCTACGCCCGTGAATTCCCAGCACGTTTGGGAAGCGCCTAAACGAGGTAGGCCGGATCCATGAGGTCAGGAGATGGAGCACCATCCTGGCTAACACGGTGAAACCCTGCTCTCACTTAAAATACAAAAAAACTAGCGGGGGCCGAGGTGGTTGGTGCCCTTGTGTCCCAGGCTACTCGGGGGAGGCTTGAGGCCAGGGAGAATGCGCGCCTGAACCTGGGGAGACGGGGCCTTGGCCAGCTGAGCCGAGATTCGAGCCACGCCACTCCAGCGCTGCGGCGACAGAGCGCAGACCCGCTCTTCAAACAAATAAATAAAATAAAATAAAACAAAAAAGAAAATAGAGGCTTGGGGGCACGGGGACTCCACCTTAATTCCCGGCCCACTTTGGGGATGAGCGCAAGGCCGGGCGGATCACATTGGACCCCAGAGGAGTTTGAGCACCAACCTGGGCAACATGTGAAACTTCATCCCTACAGAAAAATACAAACAAACAAAACAAATAGCGCGGCTGTAGTGAGACGTGCACCTTAGTCCCAGCCTATCCAGCGAGCTGATGGCGGGGGGAGGCACTCATTCTGGAGCGGCAGGAGGTTCAGGCTGCAGCCTGAGGCCCCAGGATTGTGGCTCACTGCACTCCAGCGGCTGGGCCCGGCGGTGACAGCAGTTGAGAACGTTCTTTCAAAAAAAAAAAAAAAAAGAAAAGAAAGAAAGAAAAGAATAAGAAAATAGCAATACAAGACATTTGGGGGGAACAATTGTAGAAATTTGAACGTGGACCAGATATTAGATAATAGTAGGAAATAACTATTCATTTTCTCCTATGATTATCATTGTGGTTATGTAGGACAATGTTCTTGTTCTTAGGAGAAGCAGGATGAAGGATTTAGGAGTGAAATGTTGTGATGTCTGCAATTTACTTTTCTTTTTGGGGGGTAGTGGGGGGAGATGGGGTCTCACTCTGTTGCCCAGGCTGGAGTGCAAAAGTGCAATCTTGGCTCACTACAACCTCTACCTCTTGGGCTCAAACAATCCTCCCACCACAGCCTCCTGAGTAGCTGAAACTACAGGTGCATGCCACCACACCCGGCTAATTTTTGTATTTTTTGTAGAGACAGGGTCTTGTTATGTTGTCCAGGCTGGTCTCCAACCGCAGTCCACCCACCTCAGCCTCTCAAAGTGCTGGGATTACAGGCATGAGCCACAGTGTCCTGCAAATTTACTTTTTTTTCTTTTTTTTTTTTTTTTGAAATGGAGACTTGCTCTGTCACCCAGACTGCAGTGCAGTGGCACCATCTTGGCTCACTACTACCTCTACCTCGCGGGTTCAAGTGATTCTCCTGCCACAGCCCCCGAGTAGCTAGGATTACAGGTGCCTACCACTGCGCATGCCCAGCTAATTTTTGTATTGTTAGTAGAGACAGGGTTTCGCCATATTGGCCAGGTTGGTCTTGAACACCTGACCTCAGGTGATCCGCCCGTCTCAGCCTCCCAAAATGGTGGGATTACAGGCATGAGCCACTGCGCCCGGCCCAAATTTGCTTTCAAATAATCCAGCAAAAAGAAAAAATAAAATAGAGAAACAGCTAGGTAGATATATACAACAAACATGGCAAAATATTAACAGTTGTTACATTTAAGTGGTGGTTATGCTGATGTTTGCTGTACCATGGCTTCAATGTTTCCATAAGTCTCAAATTTTTCAAAATAGAAAGTTAAATAATGGTTGAAGAAATAATGGAATTAGAAAACCACCACTCTGTAACAATCATAGTAATAACTAATTAGGCAAGATTCATCAGTCTGCCAG